ATATAGAAATGCCGATTATTGTCCAGGTACACTGATTATGCTGAACTGTTGAGGGTCTGCTGCCTCGTTTATAGCAAGGTGAGTGCAACGAATGAATGTACCTTGCCATTCGGGTCAGCTAAGCCCAACACCAGCAATATAAACAACAGTGAATATTTACAACGTTACTCGGGATAGTAGCAGATCTGTTATTAAGCCAGTAATGGTTCTCTACGCCTTTGCTGCGGCCCCCTATAGTTGTATTTAATGAGGCCGATGGGCATAAAACGCGCAATAACTACTACCACTAGCACCCCAAGAAACCCGGTAAGCCCCTAAGAAGGCCGGCAAATTAAACAGGACCTACATTAAAGATGTCTTGTTCGAATGACAAAACATTTATATCATTACTATTAGCTAAGAAAGAAACACTAAAGACCAAGCATATATATATATATGTATATGTTTTTCAGGCAGATACAATGAATTTATGAAACCATGAAATGTATTAAGCCTAGATTCTACATCTGCATAAACAAATATGTAAAGGACAACACATCGTATTCTGATGTTTAAATTTGCAAAGGAGAACTTTTATTTTGGTAGATTATATGTTTAAACGTAAACCGCATTCAACGGCGGTCAAGCCTTAACCAACGTATGTGTTTTCTTTTTTTTTCGAGATGTCAGACCCACCCAGCCGGTCAGCATTACCCGCTTCACGATGATAGATTATATATACGCTCATATAATGAGTGAACAAGCTAGTTGCTAGCTGATATTCGTATATACTAAACAGTACTATCTGGCTCATTTTAACAAATCAACAGGGCAGGTTGTGAGGCCAGATTGCCCTAATGCTACGGTCGCATGGTGATTACCGCTGCCTGGCAATCTGGCCCTTTTTTTTTGATTTAAATTTGGGGTACGCAAATATTTTAAACACGTAGACATGTGTGCTAGACTCAGCTAAATGACTTACTAACAACTCTTTATCAAGACCACTTACATTACTGACAGGTTTCTGATAATACGAAGCAACGTAGTGATATTTTCGTGCTTCAACTCTTCGTAAATCTATAGAAAGCCATAATGACTGATGCTCGCCGTGGCATTTCTACTAGGTACACTGTTTGGGCTTTCTGAATTGATGTCAGACAAAACCCTACGCAACTGCAAAGAATAATAGTCCCAATGCAGATACTAGAAATTTAATGATGTGTCCTAGTAGTGATTTTTATGTTGAAGTATATAAATAACAAGACTTTACGTTTTATACATGAGAGGCGTTAGTAGTGAATTCGTTCACAGTAACACATGAGTTTGTAAAGTAATGCTTTACTAAATTATTTGTATTGGACAGACATGATGCCCAGTCCCCATATGATAAACCAAACGAAATATGTTATTGTTACTGTAGGAATCTATATATACGTAACGTTGGTTTTTTTTTAGCTATCAAGCAAGTAAGATGACGCATTGAGGCGTCTCAGCTAAGTACTTGTTTCTGGATTATCCAGCTGATTGTGCTATCGACCATCAAAGGTGAATCTGCTCAGTCCTAGGGGCAAGCGTTTTTTTTTATGGTCCGCAATTAAATCTGGCTCGCTAGTTTGGCATTTCCTATTTCACCTATGAGTTCAAGTCAACAGAGTGGTGATACTATTGAGAAAAATGTCGGCGAGGTTCTTTGCTCTCGGTGGCAAATACTATTACCTACCGTCTGCGAAAAGCTACCGAACGTTTTATTTGTAGTATAGTAATTCCTGCTATGGCTGATAGAGCTATTCGTCTTTTTATTCTTTACCGTATAGCGAGATGTTCTTTGTTGATGTCGCCGTACCGATGACCTAACATCCCGCAAACATTATAAACAAAGATGCCAACCTAAAAAGTAAAATTAGATCCATTTAGGGTAATCTAGTAGATCTCAATAACACTGTGTACTCAATGTACGTCCTGTTTATCTCGTGCATTTCCTGAAACTTGTACCGGCTGTTTCATGTAATTCCATCATCAGCCTCCTGATTCTTTTTTTGACAAAATCACGCCTTTCTTGCACTCCTTGTGGTGACTTACATACATATATGTGTGGATGTTCTAAATATAAAATATCATGTACAGGTACACATGGTCAATATACATCCTAAACAGGTACAGACAAAATAACACCCTTTGAACCTGTGTATCGGCTTTGTATATTGAGCGTTACGGACGGTATCGATAACGCACAAAAGCACCGAATAAGAAAGACAAATTTGAAACACTCGCTTAACGAACAGCGATCGCATAGAATTTTTGATGTAGCACGACACACAGTAAAACACACGCAACGGGCTTATGTTCAACAAAAAAATAGCCTTTCCCAGATAGATCAGATGAACTTTGCGGTCCTAAAAATATATATCTTGGCACCCAAAAAATAAGAATATAGTACATTCGACGCGCGCCTCTCTAACAAGGGTAGTGATTCTAGAGTGTGGGGTCCCGTGAGTATCGCAAGTGCGCTAATGATTCCGATTGCTGCTTCCATCGATGCTGTTTTGGGTGATTCATGTTCATTTATCGATGTTGGGTTTGGCTGGGCCAAATATGTCCGGAAGTCGCTCATTATCCGTTTTTGCGAAACTGGATTGCTTTTTGCGTGACGCGATTACCATGTAGCCAGAGTCCACTACTTTCGTTACGTAGTTTCCGGGCCGCGGGTATTACGCTACTCGAGGCAGTCAATACTAGTGCGACCAACAGTTCCGAAGAAGTATTTTCGGATTAGAACGATGAGCGAGTACATCTGATTCATAGGCAGAAAACGAGTTTTTATTTTTGTACCAAATGATAATAACGGGTTGTTTTTTTCCTAAGCGTCTATTTTTTGAGCGATAGAAAAATCATTTACTGTTGAGACAGTTTGTGTTTATAGTATGGTTTTGCCCGAACGGCGCCGTGAGCCTTCAACGAATTACTCCTGCTGAAGCAAGGAGTGATTTCTGCACATCTCTATGAGTGCGTGGCTATGCTAACTATGGACATGCGGCCATCTTTGATCTAAACGTTAGTGTTGCCAAATGATTATTATGCTGCTTTGTAAGTTTAGGTCCAGCAATGCCCGTCCAAAATAGCTTAGACACCAGGTGTAACAGAACAAGGGCTTATCGTCCTTTTGCGCTAGTTTATTGCTATCTTTGCTGGTTGCTCCGTCGGATATCTCTTGTGGCTTTTGAATATTCGATGATTGTTTTAGCTCTTCTTTTGCTTTATTGCGGACCATTTGTCCAACAACTGGAAAAATGTTTTTAGGGTAGGAAAAGTAATGTCGGCAGTAATTTGATTTCTTCGAAAGTCGAGTCATGTCGAAGTACAGATTTCTTCTTATATATTTTTTTTTTATCTATCATATATATATATATATTCTAGTTATTTGCTTAGTGCTGACTTTGCCTAGGATATTTTAGTTAAATATCTTATTTTTGTAGCCTCTTCTATCCTGCAGGGTGTAATAGGTAGGTACATGGTGGTTCGAAGGTTATAGCTTATTATAGTAGCTGGATTATATCGTTAATTTGATCTGATGTTGTTATGAAGCTCGCCATAAGCTCCAAACCCACATGGTACAAGCAACTCGGACGGACGGATTGAATAGATCGAACGACTGGCACATCGAACCGAAACTTTCACAGCCGTATTAAGAAAAGCCGGATTTGTGTGCCTCCTGTGCCTTAAAACGATGTCGGTTCCCGTTTTAGCTATTCGAGCGCCCCCTATCGAATTATATTGTAGCACACTATATAAACAATTTAAGTATATAACTGTGGAGTTGAACAATATTTACATTTTGGAAATGTGATCCTGTCTACCAACCAATAGTTGCAGCTGGACAAAATCATTCCGTAGATTTCTGAGAAGGTCTTTTAGCAACGATTGCTGAAACAGTGACTTTAAGTCATTGCATTGTTCTGCTAGGTTGCATATCATGAGTAAACAACGACTGTCAAAAGCAGACAACTGCCCCCGCCAACTTTTACGCCACTCGGCTTGATTGATATTAACAACCAACATATAAATTCCAACGCTAAAAAATATCAATCATTGCTATGGCGCGAAGAGAGTATATAGCAAAATTGGATCCCACAGTGATTGGATGACTGAACGTCATCAAGAATATATTCAATGGCGCGGAAGTAGCCGGAGCGACTTTTTTAAATTTATCAGCGGGCAATATTTTCGGATCCGACTATGATTCGAGCATAGAAAAATAAGATTTTTAAAATTTTTATCTAGTGTATTCGACGCCATCACCTGCGAGGTTACGAGTCTCAGTTGTCGTGGCGTACTTATTAGCCGAGATTTTCCGCGTGGATAGATTCTAGAAGAAACGCACCGCGATTTTTTCCCCATTACCAAGTGACAGATCGGTTTCTCAGATCCCAGTGCACGACATGTGGCTCGATAGTAATTACTTGCTGGAGCCCCTTCAACGTCTATAATACGCTATAGGAAGGAAAGTAAGTATATAAAAACATGCAATATAATTGAAACACAAAAATTGTATTACGATTCTGTGTTTCCTTAGAGATGCATCATTTTGGCCAGAGGTTTATCATAAAGACGTTCGTTCTAGTCAAGGCGAACAATGACCTATGTATATGACAGAGCAGCTTAGACAGGTAAGCTGCGTTCAAAAAAAGTTTCCGTTCCACATGCGGTATCAATAATTTTTGCCTGCAAAGATGCAAGCTCATCATTAAACTTCAGATCAGACTATCCCTTACAACAAGAGATCACGGTAAAATCCGTCAGGTCACAATTTGACGGCTCACTGGCTCAGGTAACTAAAATTCAAATTAATGGCGGGTGTGTAGAAGTTTTAAATAAATATACTGTATACGCAAAGCATCTTTTTGTGTGTACTTTCAAAACACGTAAAGTATATATGCGCTGACGACGGAACGTTATACCTGAAAATAACGTGTATATATATATATATATATATATATATTTGCGGTAATAAATTTCACCGTGAGGATATCGGGTCAGTGCTTAATGTATCCTTTTTCCTCGACTCGAGTACTATAAGGTAAGCCATGAGCGAAGAGCCGAGGCGAAAAAATAAGTGGTATTGTCAGCGTAGTCGATAGAATAGACCTACAACTTTCACCACTACAGCCGCCTGATATTTCTGCGCAATGCTTTAATTGAAACGTATGTAGGAGTAGAGATGACACGCACTCAGACTGAGCGTGTATATTTAACCTCGAACCGTGTGTCTTCGCTAGAATCGAAACATTTCGTTTGTTCTGCCCTGCATTTCCTTATCATTTACGTTGCAAACGGAGCCCACACAATTTTAAGGAATCACACGTCATCTGGCTAACGGTCTGTGCGTCGACGCCGTCTGAATTTACTGGTCCGATTTTTTTTCCCCCCCAGAGTGATAGGAATGTCATTCTGTTGTTCCCATACGAGCTCCCATACCTGTGTCCAGCACCCACTCGTCATTGTAGCGCCATTGTTATTGTCATAGCAGGAGCAGTGGTGAGGCAACGTAAACTGGCCCAGTTGCTGAGAAAATGGAAATACGCTCCGTTTGCATTTGCTTATATCCATAGCTTCTCTATGGCATGCTGGTTCGCTGCTATCCAGCAGCCTCATGCGTATAGCTGCTAGCCAATGTTGGGCGTTATCGTTGAAAGTATAAATTTGCCAGATGCGACAAACTGATGTTTCTTCTCCTGCTGCTGATGGGGCTACCACGGTTACTTTCCGCCCCCCTTTCTTTATAGAAACTATACCAGGCTGTTGCCAGCAAACGAATATACATCAACGGAGAGAAGAGAAGATAGCGAGAAGCTGAATAGTACATGGATGAGTGCAGCCGAAAGTTTCATTCGAGGTTTTCTCTTTCGTTTAGAACGTAGGCCAAACCTTCAGGCCATGCAGATTTCTCACACCTCAATATTCGTTCACCGTTGTTCTGTTTTGTTCTTTCTTCCGCTAAGCGACAGAACGATGAGAGCAAAACGATGCTGAAGGCCGCTTATGATGATGTTCTACTTGAAAATACAGCGAACGAATGTGTAGCAGTATTATGCCGATGTCGACGCGCGTTTACCGATAAGGTGGACGCTCAGAGAATCAGACACGTTTCAGACACATTTGCATCGTGGAAAAATCTAGTCGAATAAGAGAAAAAAGCAGAAAAGAGAAAAGGGAAACAGGTTAATACAGAAGACTAAAGCGTATATCAGGATAGTGTATGTCTATAGCATAGTATTGGATATATCTATAGAATCAAAGACGATATCTAGATAGTTTGGTACGAAAAAAAACAACATTGTGCGAACAGCTAGAGTTTGATTTAAGGTGTGCAAATTACCTATAATCCGCCTGCTCCTTGACGAATTGACTAAAATGAAAGCAAAAATAGTCCGTTTATTAAGACAACGATCAACAGTGTGTAAAGTAAATAGCACTTGTTTTTAATCGTAACTAGCACCCTTTCGGGGTAAATGCAAATTGAAGCTTTGACAAAATGGAACTATTTGGCAAACAAATTACTTAACATTATACTACTTTCTAGCGCAGTGCATAATTATTCTCGGTTTTTTTTTTTTTGTTCTTTACTATTAAGCTTCGATCCGTATTATCTAGAAGAGAAACCACCGACCATGAGCCAAAGGCACAAAGATCTGACCGGTGACCTAAAACTAGGTGCACGACAACCTCGATTGCGCTGAACTAACAAAGGTCGACAAAAACAACACCTACTGTCCAGCGTCAACGTATGCAAACCGTGATGAGATACGTTCCCATGTGCGCTATGCACCATATTTACCATTACCGAGAAAGACGGGTCATCACGAGATCTTATCGCAATAGACCTAAAAGACTCTTCTCGTCTCCTGCATCGGCGTTTGTGGGTTTACTATTTTCATCTGTCGTTGATTTGGCCTTCCGCAATAACATCGCGGCATCCACAACAAGCTGTAACGATCATGGTAAGGTTATCACTTAAAAATCCGAGCAAAAATTATGTTAAAACCCGTTTACCACCACCAAAAACCAATATTTACAACTCTACGTACACGTTAGACAGGATGTGTTTTTGCGGCCTCCGCAATAGAATGGCCGGAGAAAGCCTCAGGCAAACGCGCATTACGACTTAGAGTTATTGTCTGCAACGCTTTATTTTGTGAAAGCTAGTTTTTGTTAGCAAAAAGGCCTAAGTCAAAATCAGTCACTCACTTACTAGTATGATGATCATCATTAAACATTTCAATGCAAACACGTCATAAGTGTATAATGGCCAATACGTTACTAATTGCAGGCGATACGGGCTAACATCGATCCGGAAACAAGTCGAAGGTATGCATATTTCTTATAAAAAAAGTTCCATATTTTTCAAACTGCCGTAACCATAAAATGCTATAGAGGGAAGTTTGTTATTGTGAAGCAGCCTGGTTTCTATCAAATAGACAAGGCCGAATCCTCTAAGCCTCTTCGCTTACAATCGGATACATAGGTATCCGATTGTAAGCGAACACATGGGTTTAGAACGGTTTGGAGCGCACGAGGTACGACTTTTAAGCTATCGAAAGTCAACAAAGTTTCAGCACTGCATGTAACTACTTACCGCTAGAATTCTGCTCTCATTTGTCTGTTGATGTTTATTAAGCCTATCCTAATAAAGTCTATAGACAAAAGCTTCACATTCTGTTTTCAGATATAAGGACTGCATAGCCCGAGTAAGTACGCTGAATGTCTGGATTGTGGAGGCGCAATATTAGATGTGATTATATTAAAGACGGTGTATATCAGAGAGTCGTTCCAAAGTTACATTACGTCTAGCTCGAACAGATTCTCCTTCTCTCTCCTTTTTTTCTCAAAAGCAGAACCGCCCCATACTGGGCAGTAAATTACAGAAATGTTCTCTGTTACGTTAGTTAACATAAGGAATAGCGTAAGGATTTGTTACCTAATTCGAAGAAACATTTCGCCAACGAGTGATGTCCTCGAGGCAAAATCGTCTTAATGGATAAGGTATCTATTTTTATACAGTACGTCTGGATTCTCTACTGTGACCGCATGGAACTTCTATAGCCTTGAACCGTAACAACCTCCTAGCAAAATAAAAAGCCAGCGAGTTAAGGCATGTCCACTTTTGCGCTAGCTTACTACGCTTTACAATGTAATCCATTAGACGAATCAATAGATACGCATTCTGTGTTATGTCCTACTCTAAGGGGAATGAAAAAAGACGTTGAGTTATCGTTAAAAAACAACTCATTCGTCATCTGTCTGCCGTGGCACAGTTATATGTATGCAAAGTGCGCCCTTTTTTATACACTATATAGCGCGCTGTTCCGCGCTGGTATAGGGTAAAAGCAGCTGCTAGCCTTTTCGTTGTTACTGCCGCTTTCGCTACTACTACGCCTGTCACAGGTCTGCGTCTATTTGGAGCGTCTGGACAAGCGCTAAGGCACAAAAGCCGTTGAATAGTTGGAACAGTGGCGGCGGCGGCGGCGACGGCTCTGGTGGGCAAAAGCGGCGAGCAGGAAGGGTCAGAAAGGGAGAAGGGGAATAGGATGGTTGTCGCACTGGTGGTGTTAGCAATAGTAGCGAAGCGGACGAATGATTCCATTTTATTCGATTGTTCGAAATGACGTCCACGACCGGCACGAGTCTGATAAGGGAACATAAATTGGCTGACCCCTCTTCGCGGACCTCTATTTTCCAAGCTGGAGAATGGCAGGCGAGTGCCTCGGCTGCTTCCGCTCCTGCAACGTAAGAATGTTCAGACGGCAAGCCGTGCCGCGGACTGCTGCTGCTGATATCGATTTCGCCGTCCAGGCAGTCCCGAACGGCACTTTTCGGATGGAGAGAACATGAGCGAATCCGTTGGGAAGTATTCGTGATCAGACGAGCCACACAAGGGATTTTCTTCTCAGTGGCCAATGGCCTGGGGAGAGCAGCATAGATCGTAGGAGATTGGAAAGATGCGTCAGCTAGAAAAGTGTCAGCCAGTGACTGTAATGGCAGAGATCCCAGCGGTTTGCAGAGCTTGATGTTTCCCGTAGAGGCTCATCTAGCGAGCATCCGTGCAGGCCGCTACCGGCGCAAAGCGTTCGGATCGAATAGATTCTGTCGTATATATATATGTTCATATATTCCCATACATGCGTATGTACATACGCATTAAAACTAGGCATCGTTTTTCGAAACCTGCGTTAGCCTTTAGCAAAGCCACGAAAAGTGGACACCGTCGAATTTCGATCTGTCAGTGGGTTCAACGTATTTAGTACACCTTTGAAATAGCACTATAATTGAATGTGTGCATCGTGCACACTTTCTGAAACTAAAAGCTCTGTGCTATATTGAACATTATGTATATTGTAATGTGTGTCCAAGTAAATCGTGATCTTATTGGTTAATAATTACTAATTATAGACTCAAGTTTAAACGGGCTTGCTAGTACTATGCACTGCAACTTCATTTACATACACCTCGTTTTTGTTGGATTAACACCTGGAAGTCGGTTGAAGCAAAAAATAACTGTGTGAACGTAGAAATTTTTGAGTGTGACTTATGGTCTATTAGATATGTTCGGCTAATAATTGCTCCAGGGAGACGAAATCGAGGATATAAGCGTCTACTGCAGTTTTTGGTATTTCATTTGATTCATCTATACAGCTCCGAAGGATCTGCTTCTCAGAGTAATCTCGACCGTCACTCGACGACTTTCGTAAGCTTTCGGCCATCGTCTTTTTACCCGGTGTACATGTTTTTGTGTAGAAGCATTGTGCACCATATTTATGCGCCGTTGCTGTGCTATTAGAACTGTCGATGCCTGAACAGTTGAGGCTAGAGGTCTGTAGATTGCGGAAGGCATTTTACAAACAAATCATCCATACGCGCTATAGACTATTAGACACTAATATTAAATTATCCTTAGAAAAAAAATTAGCTTTTCAATTCAGTACAGCTGTCATTGGGTTTTGTTTTTATGTGTGTTCAATGAAGTCGGCTATAACAATACCGTGCGATTTGCCGACATAGAGTTTGTCAGTCAGGCTGGACTATATCAGTAAGCACCCTTAGATGGGCACTTGCTACGCTTCCCCGTCAAACGACAGATTCAAGCTTTAAAAATCTACCAATTGGATACCCGTAACATTTACTAGAAAGTCATTACTTTAGCTTGTCGACCATGCGAGACGATACGAGGTAGACATATGATGTTCGAGTTTGTTTGTTATGCACAGGGATTTTGAAATTGTCTGCGCTATCATTTTAGCATACGAAAATACGTTGTTCTGCCGACATTTGTGTGAAAACGCTAACGGCAGCTGATGCAAAACTGAGTTCTCAACATCGTACCCAAACAGAAACTTGACGTTTCGTCTAGCTAATGATCATCAAGCATTCTGAATAAAGCCAGCGATCAAGTAAAGGCTTCTCTAGCGTCTGGCAGTTTATACATTTCGCTATTTAGTCTTATATAAGTAACTAAAGGAATTGTTAGCAAATAGCAATCTAGCTTCTAGCTATATTATATATATAGCTAGAAGCTAGATTGCTTTTAGTTACAAAGCGGCGCTTTGGCCGGGTACTGGAAGGTGGTTCGCCTTCTTTTCTAGTTGAGTTTCTGATAAAGCTTCCAACGTTACATCCGAGGCTGTTTCCAGTTAACATTCGTTCAGCCTGCCACTCCAGTAATAAAGAACCGACCGCCTCGCTGCTTTTGAAAAACGCAGCGCGTCGTTGTGCTCTGTAAGTGGATGCGAAAAGTTCCGGGGTGACTTGTGTGCGGTCTCTTCAAGCCCCGTTCTCCTGTTGATCTAAAAGGCCAAAAGCGCATATCACCAGCCAGCTGTATGTTTTTGCTAATGTCAACCAGAGCAAAGGAATGACAGAATGATCCTGCTGCATTAGTAGAATTAAACCTGTGCCCACATTTTTTCCATCCGAAAAAATACATGTCTACCTTGTTTTTGCCATGCGTATGAGGTAAACGCTTGGCCACATGTTCCAAGCTGAATTTCGAAAGCATTAATTGAATAAGTGAACGTCAAGGGTAGAGTACGCCCCTTTTCAAGGGGCAATCAGCAGGTCGTACTTTATTTAACCGAGTATTGTCAGAAACAAATCAAATGTTATTTTTCATTGTGACCCCCTGGACAAGTGCATCGCTAATTCTGGCACGCGACAGGCCCAGCTTGGATGTTCCAAGGCCAACAAACACTTAGTATTCGATAAATTTGTGATAAAATAGGTGATGGAACTTTCGCGAGTTGTTCCTTGTGATTTTTCTCTGTTCGATATGGAGATGAGTCATTCTGCGCTCGATTTGTTCGATAAAAGCGTAAATAAATCGATCGATATCACTACCAATTCTATTGTTGCAGCTTGCATTTGGTCATTACTATTAAAATAGCGAGAAATACATCTTTGCCCTATGAAATTGCACTTGAGGTTCGTCGCCAAGTTTACGTCGTCGTACGTTTTCTCCAAGTCACGAACGTTAATTGCTGGAATATGGATACAAGGTAACATGTGAATGGTTAATAGTACTTTCGGACAAAATCTTGCTCGCTTTGAAAGCTGAAATGGGACTTTATTGGGCATGGCGCGGGAGTTTTGACTGCCGGAGTACCGTGCCCCACATCCCAAATTCACTTTCAAACGAGACCTGCAAATGATACGTCGCAGGTTGCATTAATCTGAATTCGTTGTCACCAATAGAGGACCAAAATTACGACTAGAGATATTGAAGTCGGTCATAAGGTGACAACTATTTTGTATTATCCTAGACGTAATTATTATCTGTTCGGTGACCTATACTATAAAAATACCATAAAAAAGTGTAGAAAATGCCCTCCAGTCTACTAGAATGAGCAATGAGAATGCTATAATTATTCTGTTTTTCTCCTTTTTTTCTTTATGTTCGTGATGGTCTTGTTTTAGCATTTGAATATTTTATTGGATTGCTGATATTGTACAATTTCTGTATAGCATTATAAAGTTAGGATTGTAAGAAAACACTCAAAAGGTTTTCGTTATTACAAAGTATTACTTTTTTTTATATCGTTTTCATGACTGGTGCTATCGTTTTGCCTTGAGAGAAAGCCGTGCTGACTATTTACGCAAATTTTGCATTTCTGATTCACGATTCATCTGCTCGTGAAATCGTAAAATATTCAAGTTCTTTGTGAAACTTTAACGTTCTATTGTGTAGCTTAGGCCGCTTTCTGTTCCTATACCGGCATTCATTAAGTTCTGTAACATAGCGCCGGAAAGCGTTTAGAGTGCCGAATCGACCTAACCGTAAAATCCAAACGAGTTCTAGTTAAATTAGATTGTCTGTTATCAAACCTGATTCTCAGCATTCGCTGCTCATATGACTGAAACAGCTGCTTGGAGTTGCAATGAAAGTTATCCTCCTTACCTAGATCCTTGCTTTTAAGCAGCACGGTCCCCTTGTGGACACTCTATGTTAAAGGAACCGTAATAATAAATAACTTCTTTTTGCAAACGTTGTGTCTTTGGCGGAACTGAAAGCAGCGTCTTCAGTCAGACGCTTAGCCTTCGAAGCCATCGCGTTGACGAACCGGCGGTACTAACTACGAAGACCATACCAGTGGCGGCATAGGAATTAGGCGATGAGAATACAAATGGGGGCCCGGTCTCTGTAGCTACAACTCACAGAGTTCGAGCTCACCCATTCACCGAACAACTTAGTCCTTAAAGAAGCCAATGAGTGCTATTTTGTTTTATACTATATAGACCAAGGATTGACCGAACAGACCCTGAAAAGATAGAAAAGCATGCTAATCTATTTAATACTCCTAGTTGCCTTCTCTCTTCACAGTGTCTAATAGCATGCTGTTATGTCCACCTCACTAGATGTGCCCGCTTGATGGTTGCAGGAACCCCTGAGGTCAGGGGCGGACATGACCCCCTGTACGTTTAGTGGTTCTTGGACTGGCAGGCAAGGCGGAACAGTAAAATTCATTTCACTAGCAGCTTGTCAACGAGTTTATGCGCTAACACTAAACACACATTTAGGAAAAAATATACACGCATGCATCTGATAAATAAAAAAAAATATCAGACGTTTATCTCAGATATTAGAACCACTTGAAGTATTAGGTGTGGACGTTTGAATTGACACGCCAAGCAAACTAGACTAAGACAGAATGTTATCCTTAAAGTTGCTATAATTTCAAAGTCTATCGATTGAACGAGCATTCCTTTAATCCGATCTGTATCTGAAGCATTGCGTTCTCTCAGCCCATCATAAATTGTCCATGCCAACGATTCTCTACTTGTTAATTCTTGAAGCGACGATAATATATAGATTCACAACGATAGTATATAAATTTTATTTAACTAGATGGGCAAAAAACAAACTGACAAAAATATTATTTGGTGTGACAGTGTTATTATTATTCCTTTGCAGGGACATAGGCACGAATGTAGCTTTATGGTGTGTTTATCTACCTGCGTATATGTACGTAATCGTGTTCCTCTTCTTCGTTCGGCGTAGGAGGCCCATGTCGTACATGTCCTGCGTTTGTAATCTTGGCCGAGTTCATCTTGGTGATATGTGGCCGTGACATACTTTACCAGCATTTAGCTTGTTACGTGGCCGCTACACATACATCTGCGAGAGCACGCTTTTACGCATGAGCTATACGGACGTGGGCGTACTTCACTGCGGAGCCTTCAAATTCAATGTAAAGCATAGTCGAACTTAACAATTTTGTAACCCATGGCATAAGCCGTCTTGAATGTAAGCAGGGCAGACATTAGCTCTGCTTAAGTTTTCGTGTAAGTGTCAGCTCGTTAGTAAAGTTCCACTTCTTTTTCATTACGTTGCTGATGGCGTAAATTGCGATATAACTGAATCGTAATAATGCAAATGATATTCTGGATGACTAATATCATCGGTAGCTTCAAATGAGGCGGTAAACGTTGGCATCACTTTATCACTTATTTTCGTCAGATGGAAAACGAATATAATAGGTGCATAGTACTATTTGGTAGAAACAAGACAGGTCTGCTCGTATCCTTGGGGAGATCTACCATAGCAATTTAATTTAACCTTTTCCTAACTGAATCGCTTTGAAAAACGCTAGCCTCTCAGTGTAAGCTTGTAGTAAATATTTGATTTAAAATACATAGGGATATAAGATAGCAAGCCTGAAACGATCGCTTTATTAAATACTAATGATGACTACCTAAATCCAAATAACGAACCGTTTTAAAAACAACAAAAACACCTTTTTAAAAAGATGTGCCATTTGTTTACTTACAGGTCCTGCAGGTGTCGCGTTCAATTACAAACTTGATCACAATAACTATTTGTTTTTTCCTTAACTAATAGAGGACTTTATTGTTCATTACTGAAGAAAATCACAGTTTATGCAGCTAGCCTTTTGTGAGCTTTGAGTTATGAGAAATTCAAATTATGAGAAAATATAACAACAATAATTACTTGTGCCAGTTGTGTCCTATTACAGAAAAGCAAAAATATCTGCTTTTTGATCCTTTCCGAATTTCTTAAGGTTGTGAGGACGGTATATCGCAATAGCGAGAAATGTTTTCTCTTAGAAAGACATTTAGCGGATTTTCCAAAACAATAGAATGATCAAAGTTTTAGTAAGTTATATAAGAAAAATAAAAATCACACCACGAACATAGTGTCGGAAAGGATAAACGTTAGAGATGTTTATTTCATTCCGGACTCATAGAAGTTAGAAAGAAGAAAATTAACTAACTCGACAGTAGGACAGCATTAGTGGAAGCAGAACGGAAGAATATTATTAAATAATAAAGTGACTAGACAACAAATGATGGTATAGTAATAATGATTCTACTTGGAAAATGTTAGTGTTGTCAAAGAGACATATCATTTCCATTCGATAAATCCAGATTTGCACAAAATCTACGCATCACGCATAAGACCGCTAGATATTCTCGACAGATGTTAACAGATACAGGCTTTATTAATATAGTTAATCAGACGTTAAAATGTTCTCATTCCAGACAACTGGTTGGCCTGGAAATTACACCTCATGGCTTCTATCGTAATATTTAAGGGATCCCAGAGCTGGAATCTGCAATGCATTCCAGTTTAGCCGGTCGGCCAAGGACCAAAAGTTTGTTCCATGGAACTACGACGGTGTTTTCAGTGTGTAGCGAAGTAGTATACAAGGCTGATCCAAAATTTTACCGAAGCGTCGCCAGAAATCGATTTGCGCTGTTTTTACATTGGTCCGTCTTGAACTACCATGATCCTCTTTCGTCATTGTTGTTGTTGTTGTTGCCCTTGTTGCGATGCTCCTCGTTGAGCTAATCAATTTTGTCCAATTTCGTGGCGAAGATCCTCCTACCCTCTACGGTTCCCGCTCACCATTACTCTAATGTGGATTTACCCTCGGGCAGAATTTTGTAACACAACGTCGAGGGGGCTTGCCCACTCGTGCGGTTGCTGGGTTGGTCGGCTTGGGCCCACCTTCCTCGGCCTGTGTTGAAGTCTTCGACTATGTTCTAGTCAACGTTTGGCACCTTAGAGGTGAATAAGCATATATGACTAACAGCTGACTATGCCATTTGAAAACAGAAACCTCTCGCCCGTCGCTAAAGGAGTAAAGGCATAAGTCGTTACACCGGACAAACGCGTGCACTCACGCGAACTCATTCAACACACGGTCTACTGTGCTAGCAAACGTATTTTCTTAGCAGCGGTGTGCAGGGCATGAGGACGAAATGGATGAAGGGTACCAGCAAGTTCGGAGATGTGAATGGGTAAACAATTCGACCTGCAGGCGGCAGGCATCAGGATAAGCGAGCTGAAAACCAGCTAACACAAAGGCTGCTTCGTGCCCCTATCGGCCTCGACCAAAACGTTAGCTCGTTAATCTGTTGCGCACACATCCAACTCTACCCGCGTCTCTCTACCTCTTGCTCTTCGACCAGACACGAGGTTTGTGCGAATAGGAGCGGATTCAACGAATAGAAGAGTAGCAAAAATTATAGCCATTGCAATGTGCACAGGCTGCGAGTTTGTCAGTTATCGTTCGTGGCGTAAAAGCGTTATCCTGCTCCCGTTCGATGGTTCGACCCGATCCTCCAACCTAACCCGCTGAGCGACATACTACTAAATTTCAATAGGCATTAGATAATGACAAATAATAATTTTGCAGCTTTTGGTACCACTACTCGCTGCAGGGACAAATCAATAACTTTCCATCAAAGCAATTATGATAAGAGAGACATCGGTAGGTGTAAACTCATTAAAGTATTCACTCAAATAGACTACATACAAAAAAAAATCCAGCGGAATAAAATTTTCGGTCGATAGCAGGCCAAAGATGCAAGGCTTAGAACGGTTAATAAATACGAAAGGTGCAAAGAAATGCAGAGAGTCCGAAGAAGGCTAATCGTTGAAGCCTCTCTGGACCATTCAATATGGCAACTGATACTTTGCTGCTTAGATGTATGTTAATTCCTATGTAAAAGATCAGTTTTGATGAAACCCTAAGCCCTTAATTTATAGCCCTATAACCCTATAGAAAACGTTCCGGTTTTTCCCAGAAATCTTCCTCAACCTTTTTTGAAGCCGCATAAGAACTGACAATAATGTTGACCGTCGATTTCAAGCAAAAACGAAAATTCTTAATCTCAATAGAGGTTTGTACTACAGAAACACATTGAACAATAGCTGGTTTTCGCTGAATTTCGCTGTAGAAAAAAACTGACTTTTTCCAAACGCAGCGAATGAACCTATACCCGGTACGGTGAACAGCCTGCTAACACTTATCCAAATTAAAGTGCCCTATTCTCTAAGATACGTACATAAGCATCAATAGATTTACTGGGTAGAGGTATTATAGATAACGATATCAAGCTTGTTACGTGTATAGCAATAATAGCACTAAGAGAATACCGTAAAAGAAAGCAAAACTATGTGTTTCTGACTTCGTAAATTATATCTGCTTGTGGGAATGAGGTCTTACACAGAGTTGAAACTTTTTAATGTTTTTGTACGAGCTAAGCCTAACACGATTTGCCTATTTCTCCGGTTATGTCCAATTGTAAAATTACTAAACGACAGAATATGCATGGCATAGCAAAGTAAGGCCAGTTGTCCTGGTCGGTTTCATTGCAATATCGATGAGACGCTAATCTAACTGAAATGTGTTAATCTTCTATAAATATTTTGAAAAAATGCCATTATCTATTTGTAAATATTAGGTACGGAATGTGAAAAGCCTTTTTCTTCTAAAGAGACCCTTATAAACATGTAACTTTATAATTTAATATTTGCCCTCTACTTTTATTTAGAGGTCATGCGCTTCCACAGAGAAACTCGGCCCGTAGTTTCTTTTTTACTTTATAGCACAAAAATTATTGGATTATTAAGTTATTTCAAATTAAAACAGTACAACTGAGATTCAAACGAGTACCCATCGTCTAGCTCTGTTCTAACATCGTGTAGCGTGCGGATATGGAAGCAATTGCAGCTTAATCTTTAGTATTCCCTCTGGATTCCTGGATCCTGAACGTTCCGCATTAACTAATCAATTTCTATCTTAAGTTGGCAACTGCATAATAGCGCTGGTAATGAATCATCAACAGAATCTCACGTTCTAAGTTAAATTTTTTTTTGGCAAGAAGCGATGACACTGCCATAGCGCAACTTTTTTTTGTTATTAGTAATGGGCGTCTAGACTTGATAATTTTTTAGAAGTGAATGAATGAATGGCTGCCTTAACTACTCTTAGTTCTTCGTCTTTACTTCATTATCAATACCGACAACGAAAACGACAGTAACGCTAACAACAGCTCCGCAAGACGAGCCATAATTAGCTGGGCCTAGCAGACGGCCGGTGGACGGTGGGGGCAGTTTATACGTGTCCTATTCCAGAAGCTCGAAAAGGAAGATCCAATCGACTTGTCAGACGAAGAACCACGAACGGCGCAGCACGACCAAGCCATCAGTGCCGCTGACTTTTCAGCCGGCTTCAGAGGGCATGTAATGAATGTCCTGATGATTTGATGAACCAGCGCGTCTTGGCCCGAACTCATAAGCGACCACGGGCCTCGCCATATCTTCGAGTGCTTTATGATAAAGGCCACATGATGGGCAGCCGCCCCGTTCATTTTGGTTCAAAGCATGTTCCAATGTGTTCATGTCTTGAATATTCACGATCTCATGTTATTCAATAATGATCCATTCGGGGATGTTAGGGCGATTGAGGGTAGTGTGGCATACACGGCCGATTAAATGGGTTCTACTAACAAAAACACTAGGAATACTTAGTCACTTAGTTTTACATAGAAAGCATTTTTTGTGCGGCCTGTTCTTATGCCTAGACACATACCTAGGCGGACTGGCGTGGATGGCTGGGCCAACTCTCCATTTGAAGTACCTAGAACGAGTCTGATTGGAGCGCTTAATGAAGGTCACTCCTGTTGTGATCAGTTCGTCTTTAGCCAAGCAGGGTTTTTCTCGTTCGAAGAGCCCGTTTGCTGTTGGTACGCAGCACAACTGATTTTTCGGCGTTCAGGCAAACTATCTAGTGTTATTATTACTATTAAATGTTCTATAGTTGATACATGCAACTTCGCTGACTAGCATTCATAACTTGTCACCAGCCCATGCGCTTAGCAGATTCAGATATTACTTACCTATTAACATACGCCGCTAACTGGCGCGTTACGTAATTTTCGCTATTAAAGATTTGGGTCTCTTTTTCCTTGTATGAAACATCGCCAGGCTATACGCTTCAGCTTTGCTGAAATACAGAATCATTTGGGCACGTATCGTCGCCCTTCTTATGTAGCACCATGCGCCGACTTTTTTTTTATCGTCATACGAAGGTCAAACGCAAACATTAACACGTAAATATATTGCACAACACCTCTGATTTGAAAGCTTTTATGCAGTATTATCTAGAATATGTTTTGTTGTGTAACTAGTAAATGTAACGGTTTTGGTACTTTGTTAATGTCGTTGGTAATGTAATGGCGAATGAATCAATAATTCTATTTAATTAAGTAGATTTTCGAGAGACCAGCTCCTTCTCGAACAAATTGAAGTTGAAATACAAAATACAGTAAACACGGACATCCAAGGACATACGAATTCGACGAATATAAACGATGTTACGTAGCGTCTTGGGCACTTAGAGAAAGCGGAAAGAACGACCCCCAAAAATGAGATGAACGCTAATGCGGATCAGAACAAACCGTGACAAAGAACGGTGATATTACAGCTCCAGTTTGATCCACAGCCGTCTTCAACTGTCACGTAAATCAGACATCATTTAGATACTAATACTGGTACACTATTTTAATTAAGAGAATGATTCGTTCGTAGACATTTCGCCCACGGGGCTTCATTAAGCTAACTAGCAGTGTCGTTTCATCTGTATGGTTACTGTTACATGAAATGAAGCGGAGCACGGAACTTTCAGCATGGAGCTTCGATGCGACGTTTTTATTCCCTCTATATCGTACCTCGATTCGGTCGTTGTCCATTCTTTAAATTATGTGTATTAATTTATAAAACAGCAAAAACAAATACCGTCAAGACGACTTCTTGGGCTGGCGCAAGTATTTATATTGTTGTTATTCGTACGTACAACGATAGGTTCTTCCGTTGTGGATGGATTTATTAATTTTTAATTTTTTGTTATTTTAGGCACAGGCTAGCTTTGCCACGAAAGGAAATTAACAAGTGTTATTAAAATATGGATTTGGATCCAAGCACGTATCATTAGATTGTTGTCAAGAATAAGTGCAATGACAAGACGTAAATTGCCAACAAATGCTTCGTAGACGAGCTGCTATCGCGAGTACGAAGCGAGAAAGAAATAATGAAAATGAAATTTTTATATGATGCTTCAAAAGGTGCAACGGAATTTTCGTCGAAAAATAACAACTCATGACGTTCTCTGTACTCGCTAAGATTGTAAAATGGGTCTAGACAGTCCAGCGGTACACTGTAAAATGACTGACTAAGAGCTTTCCATGTAGCCCAAGCACAGATGCTCGGCGTGAAACAGTGAGACACTCTGAAGATTTCATGATGGAACGCCTGACCGTACATAATACGTCGCCTAAAAACTTTGTCAGCAATATTGATTTTCACAAACATTTCGGCATATACGAAAAGGAATAAACCGATGATTTAAATCGTCGTTTTTAGGATATTTTTCCTATCAGCTTTTTTTTTCTCTGATTCTTCATGCACGTGCTCGTAAGGTCGCGTTGTTGTTCCTTGCTAATAAGAACGATCTGTATTCCACTGAATTAGGAGAATTTGTTGCTAAGGCACCGCAAGCAAACTAAGCACTGTCGATAGTTTATTTTTTACAGACATCATGTTGCAGCCTAAATACGCGCATGGAGGTTTCGCCTCTTTACGTTTACTTTTCATCTTGGAGTCTTGATATAGATATGGTTTGCTAAGGACAACGCAACATCACTATTGCTCGTTTAGTTGGGAGAGTAAATGATTTCCTACCGAACAAGGTGTACGAATGTCGACGCATACCCCACCTCTCGAAGAGAGACAAAGTAATTTTTTCTAATTACTGGTAATTCATGGTAGCGATACTGTGCATATTAATATACGTGACGGAGACGACCTAATACATACAACAGACTCAAAGATCAGGATGCAGCTTGAGTTCGAAATACTGCAGGCACGAAATAGTAGTATAGACATCTGATAGCCGCTAACGGCGGGACCAGAAACGATGCATGTTTAAATATCTCCAGCTATGACAGTCAAAATATGACTACATTATAAAGCTAGCTTTATTCTACGAAAAATAAAATTTTCCTTTCTTTTTTTTATGTAGAATTTATCATGCGGAATTGATTCCTGCCTGACTTTGTGCATCTTTCGGGTCCTTGATCGAGGTGGAGCCGCTGTATGCGAAGCTTAAATGAGGACAAGAGTTTAACACAGATGAGAGTCGAGACTTTTCCACTAAAAATAGAGGACTGTAGGTCAAAAGGTCATTTATAAGACGCTTCGCATCTTTTCGAACTTTATTCACAGTCCGAGGATACCTTCAACGTACTCAGCGGTCAGCCACGTTGTAACTTTGCTTGCAAAACGTTTCGGCTCGCTAGGTAAGCGGCAGAAACGGGATAATTTACTTGCGAGTTACAGTGCGAGCAGCATTCCTCTAGGGGTAAAGCCATAAAAACTACCTTCAAGGCCTTACTGATGTGCTTGGCCCATAGGTCGGTCTGCCGTTCGCATGCTGTGTGGTTATGGTCGACAAAATTAAAATCACGCGAAATCAAAACCAGCTTAAATGTTTAACGTGGCTCCTTGAAAATCTACTGATACAGAGAAACATGTTCAGTATGATCAATTAATCATATCCGAGCGAATCTACCAAGTGGTTCTTCCAAAACTGAGGGAAATTGAAGGTTACGTTGATTGTTATTGTGTTACTAACGGCGGTGCTTCAGCTCAATCAATCGAAGGACAAATTTTGATAGGAACTGAAGCTCCGGCCCAGTATCTTGATCGCACAAAGGTCTACATCATGTTACCCTTACTATGCCTCTGCATGTTTTATCTTAAATTGAAATAAAATAACTAAGAAAAAAATATTAGGTCCGATGTTTATGACTTTGTTTCCATTGCTAACTCGAAGCGGCCCGTTCCTATTGATCAGTGTAATTGATTTGCTACACCTGTCTCAGTAATTACACTAATTCGATCTGCAGTTGGTGCAGTAGACAAATTAGGTTCTTCTAAACATTTGATTCTTGTTGTGGTAATAGTTCTTTGAGGAAATACTCTGCTTCCATATGTATGTTAGGAAAATCTAAGGTTATTGTGAAGTGATCCGCTGATAACGTCTTTTTTTCGTTCATCAAAATTGAAGTTTACGGCAAAATGGACTGAAGAAATTCCCCTGATTAAGCCAAACGTGGATGGCGTGTTACCGGCACACAATCTATGCTGAATACAACAACATACCGTAGTATGTGGGAAATTTACTTGCAGTGATTTAAATCACTCGTGCTTTGTTTCAGCAGTGACGTCATTGAATGTTAGTTATCACTGCTGTAACTAAGCAACGTCTTGCATAAAAAAAAGAACAATTGTACCATTGAACGAACACAAACAGCATACAAATACAAAGCTATTCCTCAACTCTCGAGTCGGACGCATATATACACGCCATTGGCCTTCCAATTTACCTTCCAGACATAGCATTTTTTTTAAAAATTACCTAATAAATAGCTTAAATTTCATGCCAGACATTAAACGGTTGTTATTTCAGCCCCCCATTTAGACGCCTAGGCATTTGGGGAAATGCATTAATACAGAGTAGCGCAGTTTTTGCATGCACCGTTTCAAGCATGATGATCAGTTGTGAAGACGTGTGTCTTTCTACTACATCGTTGGTACCGATCCATCAATGACAGGGGTATCTACGAACGTAATGCTCTGACTAGCAGGAGCCCCCTCAAGCTCAACAATAGTGATCCTATTAGCACCATATTTGAGATATACGCCAGGAACATAGAGGGTCACTTGAGGACCCTGCGCTGGCCAATATCTGCCAAGGTTGATACCGTTGACAACGATGAAGCCCTTAACCCAACCGTCAAGGCGGACGAATGTATCCAACAGAATCGGGGTGTCGTTCTCATTTAGCGTCAGCGTTCCTTGGTATACACCAAAGCCCTCCGTGTCACGTAGATCTGAGTAATCGGCATGCTGGCGACGGAAGTCATTTATAAATGGCGTTAACATATCGTAACCCTCGTCCCCTTCCGCCTTATCGGGAATAAGGTAGTGAAACCATCGCGTCAATGTCTTACTTCCAAGATTTACTTCGCCTATGATACCCTTTATGTCTTTTATGCCATCGCCGTAGCAAACACGACCCTGGTTCTCCACTAAGATCGTCAAGGTCGAGCCTTTTCTTGCTCGTATAGCAACTTGATTGATAAGAACTTCTCTAGAAAGCATGCCTTGATATTGATGGTCCACAAAAACGTAGCCACGATCTCGGATAGCTTGTACCTTGAGAACAGCAGGATTCGCGGGCTGAAATGGAATGGTCGTTTCGTACGCAACAAGCCCATACGGATGGTTGAGCTCCTCGAAACTCATGGGGTTTTTGCTTGGCATTAACGAATTAAGCATCCTGAGAGCACCCAAAAGTCCCATGAAACCAGCGGTTTTGTTTAGTGGCACATTTCCTAGCGATAGCTTCGGCTTTGGTGAAGGATTGTTGGCTGGCACGGGAGCGTACTTCCTGATGATTTCCTTGATAGCGAAATATTTATCAGTAGGGTCCCCAGCCTCGTCCAGCGGTGCATCATAATCGTACGAGGTGATACAAAGTTGAAATGTATCTCCGCTTAGTTGGGCGCCATTATCGAAGCCGAAATGGGTGCCGCCATGAAACATATAGAGGTTTACAGACGCGTTCCTACTTAACATCTCATCGAGGGCATGACAGACGGCATCCGTGGGAACCTTATGATGTTGAATTCCCCATACATTGAACCATCCTGTGTAGTACTCGGAGTTGACCAGTGGACCGTGCCGTTGATGGCGACGTTGCGCAGCGAACGCGCTGTCGACACTTTCCCTTGAGCCGAAATCGATCGTTATGTAAACTCCAGCATTTTTGCCGCACTTCAAAAAACCGTCACCATTTCCATCGGTGGTGTAGTAGACAACATCCTCACCAAGATTCTCGATCGCTAGCTCGCGAAGATAGGACGTATATACGAAATCGCATGCTGAATAGCTACCGTATTCATTTTCGATTTGTACGAGGATAATCGGTCCTCCGTTGGTGTAAAGTAAAGGCTTGATGAGCCCGAACACCTTCCTCCAGTAGCGAGCAACGTAGCTCACGAAGTCTGTGTCGTTGGTTCTTAGCTTCATCGCAGGATTGACTTGCATGAGCCACCAAGGAAGCCCGCCCATCTCGCGCTCGGAGTCGATATACGGTCCTAGTCTGAGATTGACAAGAAGATCTTGGTTCTGAGCAGTTTTTATATATTGGACAATATCGTTTTGTCCGGTGAGGTCAAATACGCCTTCGTGCGGTTCAAGAGTTCGCCATTCGAGATAGGTCTGTAAAGTGTTAATTCCGCAATCTCTCATTGACCGCAAGCGATCTTCCCAGTATTGATAGGGCACATTATAGTAATGAATGCTCCCAGAAATGATCTGGAACGGCTTGCCGTCCTTGACAAAACGGTCATTTTCAAAATCGATCTTGAATTCTCGAACGCCAAAGACCACAGCAACGGCCGACAGCAACAGCAATGGTGACCTTCCGAAAGCCATCTCTGCGGTCTCAAAATAGTAACAATAAATAGATTACCATCTAAAAAATACGATATTCTAATGTGTCACTTATACAATTGTTACGGAGAAGTTCGGTATCGCTAGTTGCAATCCTGATACAAAATATAAATATATAGTTTTACCGCATCTGACTAGATGCCGGTCAACAGGCAATCAGTTAGTTCCTAAAAAATAAACAAATCTATTAATAAGCAGTAATAATTTCGGACAGAGATTTTAATAAATACACAAATATTATCATAACGGTCTCAATTATGAGCAGGAGCTTAGATACTCCACTTGGGAGCTGTCGCGTCTAGTTTCCTTCTACGAGTCATTTTGAATGTTTCGCAATGTGGCTTTCAACGGATCCGTAAGCTTTTATGCAAATGCACGTGAAAACACAATGGGGTTATATCCGTAACCAGCACTAGGCCAGCAGTAGAATATGTAATACAGTCTCTGCACTAACAATTACCAATGCAACAGTATGATCAGAATACGTGATCACATAATTTAAAATGGTGCCGTACGCCATAAGAAGCAAATTTAACAAACCTAAAAATCATTGATATCTCCAAAAATACAAGATTAAAATCATGGGGTCTATACTCTATAGTACGACGTCGATTGATAACCGCCATCGATTACCGTATGGTAGCGCTTTACATTTATAGAAACGCAAATATTGGCGTGCAGTTATCTAGACTGCCATAGCTACCCACCAGGTACAAAAGGGTTCATACCCTGCCTAGTGACGCAACCGTGGCCCAGTGCACTTTAACACAGCATTTCCTGCTACTACTACCTATATATATATAAGATTCACGCACTCGAAAGACTTTAAAGTAAAACCATCGAACAAATTTTAACACCATTAAGTATTATAATGATGCCTATTAAGAGTGCGCAGCACAAACGTATGCATACGAATTTATAAAGGCGAAGCCGTAAAACGTAAAAACACATACCGGTACGCCGCTTCAAGACGGGGAGGCGTGTGTTAACGCAAATTAACTTCTAATGTCGTGGCGTTTCTTTTAGCAGCAGCCCCGAACTTAGTTGTTGATATTAACAATGAATCGAAAGTTTTCTTGGAACAGGTTTGGTACTTTGGATCGCGTCACTCGCCCTATCGAGCTAACGGTTTACAGTCGGCGAAATGTAACAGGCAACGTGAAACTTCCTCCAGCGCCTCCTACTAGCTCTCTCTGCCTCTGTTTAGGTTACGCCATTGCTTCCAACTGATTGAGTTCTTATGCGAGTGGATGCGGATCAAAACACAGATTGTAACCAAACTGGGCTGCCCCTGCCGCTGTTGTCGCCGGTCTCGCCTCAGTCGCCGTTGTCGATTCTATTGCTGTTTCTAGGAGCTCTCTTTAAACCACCGTCACCCTCAGCTAATGACATAATAAACAAACGTACATCGGTTACTACGAGATTGCCAAGTGGCGGCAAAATGTTCACTGCTTAATCCGACTGCGGTGAGGCCTGGAACAACACCGTAAGCCCGGAAGCCGAAGTAATCAACCAATCAATCACTTGTTAATGCTTTGTTGCTTCACTGCCTTCGTTGCCGAACGTCTCAAAGCAACTAAAAGAACGAACACCAAATAAAGTAAGCTTAAAACGAAAGCTGAACGAAGTACACCGCTTGCTACATGTTTTAATAAAGGCAATAATTTTAAAAATCAAACCAGAACTTAAATAGAACTAGTGCCTGGTGTTCTGTAATCCTGAATCAGGATCGGACGACGATTATGGAACAACGAATGAGGAGGCCCGAGTCGATTAATATATATGTCGTGGCCTATTTTGTTTTAACGATTCGAAAACTAAGTGTAGGTGCTCCGGACGCGAGGAGAATCGTGATAGACAGAACATCGCCTGCTGCCCCCTGGTTTCATCTTTAGGACATCTAGCAAACTACTTTGTAAACTCAACTAGACTCGCGTAATTCACAGGACGCAAAGTGTTTTCATAACTCTATTTTCCTTGAGCTTGTGATATTATTAAGCCAATAATAACAAGTAGCATGTCACCTTTCTCTATTTGGACCCGACGAGTTGTTTGTACATGAACGAAGCATGAGTAAAACAGTCACATCTGCATAGCATAGATCAACCCAAATCAGAGGGTATCGAGAACTTAAATACTTATTTTTCTAAAGATGATAACAAATCACACACATATCTCAAAAGTTGATTGACCAGAACACTTGTGTGTCCCAAGATATTCGCAAACCTTTAAGTACGAAATAGATTAAAAACATTAACTAAACAGGTACACTAAACAGATTACGGTATAGCAGAATCTGCTTCTATTAAAACCCGTAACTAAGAGGTACTTCTTGGAAATTTACCTTACAACCATTCGATCTACAAATGCTTCTAAACATGACAGTGTTGACGTGTTCACCCTCTGTGATTGAAAAACGCGGCGTTTCGCTTAAAAATGCAATACTTAAAGCCCTTACCGGTAGTATATGGTTAAACGGTGCTCTGAACAATTTCGTTCGCTTATTTTAGCTCTCCCGCTAGACGTCTCTAGAGACGCAGAAATCTGTTCTTTGGAGAAGGATTTCTAATGCATTACTGCAAACTATCGGGCTAGTACGACACATTCAATCTCGGAGATGTAGAGGGTTGGCCCACCGAGGTCATGCCCGCTAAACCCATAACGCATATCCCTTAAGCTTTACTTCCTACCAGCCCGGCTTTACGCTGATCAGACTACCGATTAGCAAGAAAAGTAGTAAGCGTCTTGAATCAATGAGCCGTGATCGTTCTGGCCTCTTCATTGCATCTTTCTCCTAACGTCTCACTACTTTCCTTGGCTAGGACTTCCTCACGTTGGCATTTTTTCCTTGTCACATGCGTACTGGACAAATCCGGCGACAATGTGCCTGCTCAGGGCTACGTGGATATGCTGAGATGCGTAGCTGATGTACCCAAAAGTATGATTCAAATACTTCCGTTCGGCTTGTTGTAGGTTATTATCCTATTTGTACAAGATGTCGATCGACAAATCTAGGTGAACGCTCTCGGGAAAGTCATCGAACATTCAACTTAGCCACGTATGGACCGATACTGCATATTTGCTGGAAACACATCTGTTTTTCTTTCGTACCGATACTTTCAGCATTCTAATCGAGCAATACTTGGCTTAGCATTTTCCTTAGCAAGTCGCTCGCTCCGAAAATTGAGAAATGCTACACTTACCACCTAAGCGATTGTGAAAGTTCCTGCAATCACCAATTTATCTTTTGGCTGATATACCTGCGCCGAATGATGCACGTTCACTATGTGCTTACAGAAGTGCTACCCGTCACAGCAATACGCGTACTCGAATTTCTCCGTAGAATCTATGAGAACTTATACGTTCACCTCTCACTAATGAACCACAGATACGCAACTAAACGAATATGCAACAGCAGTTCGCGGAATGGGTTTTTACATGATGAGCTCTCCAGTTTCTGGGAAGTGGGTTTTATGGATAGTCAGCCGATCGCTGTCGATTAATATTCCCACGTCCAACGACCGATTTTGTAAATAGATCTCGCCATATGTTCATTATTCCGCAATACCGAATCACAAGGACAATTACTAGAAATCAGAGTTGTTCATAACGATCTGATACAACGGTCTGGTATAGGGTTGTCGTCGCCCTTTAGTTGTTGTCCTGGCTTGCCCCTGTGGGCTTTTATTTTTTCACTCGTGACTCCTTCATAGGGCAACGGCTGTTGCGACAAAATGTTTGGTTTCTCAGACGTCCCACAAACGGTACCGTGTCATGTTGTTATCAAGATTTGTTAACACTAGGAAAAAAACGACACAAACGGAGAGAACTCTGTAAAAGGCGAAGGTGCTTCTAACTTGTTGATAGACTGCTGCCAGCAATGGACAGAATATTATGTTACTCAATTCACATGTATGTCAGAATGCGTCAGTTAAATGTAGCTTACTAACACCTGTTAATGTTACGGGTGTACTTAAGTATGTAAGTGAACTGTATATCTCAAGATTGCACATTTGCACGTTCCGCATTACATAAATGTGGGACTCGTTCGAAACGCTTCTTTCTGCACCTAACGACGTTGTACTGTATATTTTTGCTGCGATTTTTTAACTTTACGAACAAAGTTAAGTTAATAAGTTTGTTCTAACAGCGCGCTAATGTTTGTAATAATGACATCGTAAAAATTGCCTCTTAACTCTATGGTGACGACATGGTGGCGAGGCAGCTCATTGTGCAAATTGCTACCTCTTTATTATGGTATAGGAATATAAATTCGATCAGATCAGACCTAACTGATTATACGAAGGTTCAATCAGATCAGATATAACTGACTATATAGTGATTAACAAAATCAGTTGATTTGATTGAAAAAATTGGCGGATTGACGTCAATTTTCCATTTTTCACGTGACCCACATCTAGGGATAGGGTCTGTAAAGCCGACGCAAAGGAACAAGCCAAAAGTAGGAGGCCAGCGCGGCCGAATGTCACAGTGCGCATACGTGTCTCAACATACGGTCTAAGATCTTACGCGCTTTAGACTAGTTTTTCCTTGAAGGTCGGCACTCTGTGCCGAAACCGAAGTTTCTTCCCTTGAGGTCCGTTGACGCTTAAACGCTTAGTTTTATGTACTCTTGAATGAGAACGGACGTCAAAACACGCGCCTTCGTCCAGAATTGCACAATCCGCATTGCCGTGGCTTCGGAAATGCCGCAAAGTCTTTTATGTCTCTTCTTTATGTTTCTTTCCTTTATGTCTCTGTTGAACACGTGCCGGATCTCATCACATTCTCGAACCCGCGCATAATACTCTCGCGTGAGGTGGTACTTTCCATGGAAACCGCTCGAATGGACGAGTCTAAAACTCATCCCACGTCGGCCTGCTGCCTACAGCGACGAAGGACCAGTAGTGTGTTGAATGTTACAGGAGTCCATAAGCAGTTCCGAACAGACGCTTATGCGACCAGCGTAAGAGACCTGCTGCCTCAAAGACCCTGATTTATTGCCCTGGCATCGTATAGTTAAAACATAATATCTAATGGCTACAAGTCTTATACTTTCTAAATTTTCAATAGAAATCGCAATGTTCCTGCTTAGCCGACCACCTTGTCCATTTTCGATTTTACCAGTCTTCTGGCTAGCACCATTCAGTTTTTTCACTCGACCACCAATGGTGCCGATTAGTAATATCACAAATGCGATTTACTTACTTCACACCTCGTCCTTATAGGGCAATACCTAGGAGCTGACATATTGTTACACGCTATAACACTACACACATTGAACAACCAAGCCTTTGGTTGAAAGAAGATAGGAGCCTCTGCCTCTAGTTTCGCAATATTACTGAAGAATTATATACACCTGCATCATGTCACGTAAGTAAATGGAGCCCTACTTCGGAAGTTAAAAGAATTAAGCATGTGCATATGCGTTCAATAATCCCAAAATATCCCGCACGATCTGCAAACATCTGGACGCGTCAGAAGATTACCTGCGATTTCTTTTCTGCCCATAGCGAATACGCCTAATAAACGTTCGCCAGTAAGATATTCAGATCCCGTGTGTATTCCTAGCAGGGATGTATGTGCCTTATCGAACCATGTGTAATTTAGCAAACACCAATCTTGCAGAGGCCGGACTTGGCAGTTGCAACGCGGTCTTGGAATAATCAACTTGAAATAGTTGCGCCGTGAACAGCTATGCCTCCGCTAGATCCGCTTGTTTGATAATGAATAAGTAATGTAAGTGTCACGCCTTTGAACAGATCATTGCCACTTTGTCCGTTCGGGTGGCAGGGTCCGATTTTCCTAACCTTGTTCTATTTTGATCAGGATACTTATCCAAGAGCAGATAGGCTTTCACCTTAGCAAGTCGTTTTGGAAGCCTCTGCTTGTGGTGTTGTCATGTTATGCTGATCGGGCGGTATCTTAAATGATATACAATAGCATAAAATCTGGATAATCTGTTTAGAGCATCAATCGACTTAGCTCATGCTTCTGGTTAGTAGTATGTATATCTTCCAGTGGATTTATAGTTAATACTGATCGAGAGTTTAATTACTAGTAGCTTGAGGGACACCCGTAATGTTATTCATCATAAGTCGTCATAAGTTGAATCATAAGTCGTTTCATTCAGGTTAGCTTGTGTAAGCCGGGTTTTATTATTGATAATCGTGGCCATCGCGTTGTGTGGGTCCCATCAACGAGGCCTTTCATCTTGCTAGTAGCTTTCTTATTTAGA